CGAGTGCTGAGTGACTGGGAGGCAAGTGTGATTGTGAGGTATGCCCGAGTGGCAAGAGTGATTGTGAGATATGCCCGAGTAGCACGAGTGACTGTGAGGTCTGCCCGAGTGGATGTTTATGATTTCATCATTTTTTTTTATCACCTTTGCATTGATCCTTTGTTTGAAAAACTATTGGAAAATAAAAAAATGATTTTTATTGGAACTGGGTTTAAACGAGATGTTTGATTCAAATCCTGATTTTTAAGGGCATGTGGTATTTTACTGAGATTTTCTGATATGAACGTTATATGCTTTATTGCTCGTCACTACTGCTCAGTCTTTATTTATTGTTGTTACTTACTGAGTTGGCGTACTCACGTTACTCCCTGCACCTTGTGTGCAGATCCAGGTGTGGCTGGACACGGTAGCAGTTATTGAGTGTTCTGGTTGCAGATTTTCTTGGAGATAGCAAGGTAGCTGTTTGGCGATCGCAGCCCCTGCTCTTCTCCCTCTTATCTTCCTCTAGTAATATTTAGCTATTCTTCCAGGCTGAGTTAGCCTTGATATTATTAGACGGATCATAGTAGATGCTCATGACTAGTGACACCCCGATGTCGGGCTTTTCTTTTCCGCACTTCTGTTTTTCTTTGATTTGAACTCTTTAAATGGAGGTTTTTATGTTAGATAACCTTGAAATAAAAATATCATTTTGTTTTGGAAATGAGTCGGCTTGCCTAGTTCCACGATAGGCGCCATCACGACAGGGGGTTAGTTTTGGGTCGCGACAGTCACGCCCCGACCTCGGGAAGCGCGCCAACGCTCAAGCGGGGGCTGCTAAATTGCAGATGACTTTAGAGTCGAGAAACCCTTGCGCAAACATGACCGGGGCGAAGGAGTCTAGAGATATATGTGTTGTGTGACCGAAGACGTTCTTCCCATAGTTCGTAAGAACTACAATTGGGAAGGCAAGAATGTAGTAGTCCCCGGGCCCGAGGACACCGTTACTACCCACGTGGAGGGGTACTTAAGTATTTACACTTATCCCTTCACGTTGGGCTTGATGGATCCGATCGTTCTAGATTTTTGCAAGAGGCACGAGGTGTGCATCGGGCAAATCCACTTGTGGAGGATCGTGACCCTCATTTGTTACTTCGTAAACAAGATCGAGTTTCGTCGGTTCACGATCAACCACATGCTTCGATTATACAATCCCCGGATGTTTCGATGGGGACTGATCAAGCTTACTCGTCGGGCCAGCAAGGTCTCTTTCTCCAGTATCGACGAAGACCGAGACCGGGGTTAGCAGGGACGCTTTGTCCGAGTAAAGACGGAGGATTTGATCCCTCCGGAATACATGTCATTCCCTGAGAAGTGGAATGCGTCTCGTAAGTGCAATTCCCTCTCTCAACATAAATAATTCTTCTCCTTTCATTTCTATCTTCTCATTTATGCTTGTGGCTGTGCAGATGTCACCCGGGTTCCGAATGCGGATCCCCGGTTAAAGGAGTGGATCGAGGGCATCTGTACTCAGATGTCCTACTTCGAGCGCACATGGCGCAGACTCTTGAAGGGCCGATGAGAGGCTCATTCTCATGGTAAGGCCTATTTTCGAGTAGCCAATACTATTTATTTACCTTCTCTTATACTAACTCCTCTTCCTTCTTGGTTATTGCAGGTTTGCCTAAGACCACCGAACTTAGGCCTTCAGAAGGGGATGAAGATGTGCTCCCGCCCGTTGATCACTCCGTTGCTACCACAGAGGGGAAAAAAAGAGGAAAATAAAACCCTCGGGCTCCCCGAGCTCTGAGGCGAAGAAACCGAAGAAGCGGGTGCTCCGCAAGCCCAAGAGGGGCTTTAGTTCCCGGGTGTGTCACGCCCCGACCTCGGGGAGCGCGACCAACGCTCAACCCGGGGCTGCTAAATTGGAGATGACTTTAAAGTCGAGAAACCCTTGCGCAAACATGATCGAGGCGAAGGAGTCTAGAGATATATGTGTTTTGTGACCGAAGAAGTTCTTCCCATAGTTCGTAAGAACTACAATTGGGAAGGCAAGAATGTAGTAGTCCCCGGGCCCGAGGACGCCGTTACTACCCACGTGGAGGGATACTTAAGTGTTTACACTTATCCCTTCAGGTTGGGCCTGATGGATCCGATCGTTCTAGATTTTTGTAAGAGGTGTGAGGTGTGCATCGGGCAAATCCACCCATCATTGTGGAGGATCGTGACCCTCCTTCGTTACTTGGTGAACAAGACCGAGTTTTGTCGGTTCACGATCAACCACATGCTTCGACTATACAATCCCCGGATGTTTCGAGGTGGACTGATCAAGCTTACTCATCGGGCCAGCAAGGTGTCCTTCTCCAATATCGACGAAGACCGAGACCGGGGTTGGCAGGGACGCTTTGTCCGAGTGAAGACCGAGGATTTGATCCCTCCGGAATACATGTCATTCCCTGAGAAGTGGAATGCATCTCGTAAGTGCAACTCCCTCTCTCAACATAAATAATTCTTCTCCTTTAATTTCTATCTTCTCATTTATGCTTGTGGCTGTGCAGATGTCACCCGGGTTCCGAATGCGCATCCCCGGTTAAAGGAGTGGATCGAGGGCATCTGTACTCAGATGTCCTACTTCGAGCGCACATGGCGCAGACTCTCGAAAGGCCGATGAGAGGCTCATTCTCATGGTAAGGCCTATTTTCGAGTAGCCAACACTATTTATTTACCTTCTCTTATACTAACTCCTCTTCCTTCTTGGTTATTGCAGGTTTGCCTAAGACCACTGAACTTAGGCCTTCAGAAGTGGATGAAGATGTGCTCCCGCCCGTTGATCCCTACGTTGCTGCCACAGAGGGGAAAAAAAGAGGAAAATAAAACCCTCAGGCTCCCCGAGCTCTGAGGCGAAGAAATCGAAGAAGCGGGTGCTCCGCAAGCCCAAGAGAGGCTTTAGTTCCCGGGTGTGTCACGCCTCGACCTCGGGGAGCGCGACTAATGCTCAATCGGGGGCTGCTAAATTGCAGATGACTTTAAAGTCGAGAAACCCTTGTGCAAACATGACCGAGGCGAATGAGTCTTGACAGTGCCGGCAACAAGGCCCCGACTATACCTCAAAATGCTATGTATAAAGGATAAAAAGAGGAGAGGGTATACTGCTATCACTGGTCAATGCCACCTGCTATGGAACCACCTGCATCCATTAAAGATGCAGCGCTCAAAAGGGACGTTAGTACATATATAATAGTACTAGTATGTAAAACTAAACACCCTCTCAATAGAACGAGCAATAATAGACGGAGAATAAAACATGAAATCAATAAGAGAATAAAACATGAAATCAATAAGAGATTCAATCAGTATCAAGGTGTCAAGTTAGGGGAAAGATAAATTTCAATATGGAAAGTTTTACTAAATGTCCATATGAGCATACACTTTATACAAAAATTGAAGATGAAAAGCTTGTTATTGTATGTTTATATGTAGATGATTTGATTTATGCCGGGAATGATTCTGCATTACTTGAAAAGTTTAAGCAATCAATGATGACTGAGTTTGATATGTCTGATCTTGGCTTGATGCACTATTTTCTCGGTAGTGAAGTTAAGCAATCTGCCAGTGGATTTTTTATTTCACAAAAGAAATATGTCCAAGAAACTTTAGAGAGGTTCAGATTGCAAAGTTGCAATTCTGTCACTACACCAGAAGAATTGGGACTGAAATTGGAGAAGAATTCTGCAGGAAAGCAAATTGACAACACTCTTTATAAGCAGATCGTGGGATGTTTAATGTATGCAACAGTCACTAGACCTGAGATAATGTATTCTGTTAGTCTTGTTAGCAGGTACATGGAGCACCCAAAAGAGACTCATTTGTTGGCTGCTAAAAGAATTTTCAGGTATTTGCAGGGTACCATTGATTATGGTATTTTGTACAAGAAAGAAGGAAAGTCAGAGTTAATTGGCTTTACAGATAGTGACTTTGCTGGAGATAAAGAAGACAGAAAAAGCACTCCGGGTTATGTGTTTATGCTTGGATCAGGAGCTGTTTCGTGGTGCTCCAAGAAACAACCAATTGTTACGTCATCCACCACAGAAGCAGAGTTTGTTGCTGCAACTGTGTGTGCTACTCAAGCAATTTGGTTGAAGAAGGTACTTACTGAACTTCATTTCCCGCAGCAAGAACCAATTCCAATTTACTGTGACAATGGTTCAGCTATTAAACTTTCAAAGAATCCAGTATTGCACGGAAGGAGCAAACACATAGATGTCAAATTTCACTTTCTAAGAGATCTCACAAAGGATAAAGTCATTGATGTTGTCTACTGCAGAAGTGAGGACCAAGCTGCTGATATCTTTACCAAATCCCTCAAGCTAGCAACTTTCAGAAAATTAAGGAAGCTACTTGGAGTTTGCAAGTTAGGGGAGGGCTCTTGTGATTGATGTGATTAAGCTGAAAGTCATAGACTTTCAGTTTAAGGGAGGGTTTGTTAGATATTTTAATTAGTTAGTTTCTGCTTTCCTCGTCTTATGGGTATATGGGGAGTTGTGTACGTACTTAACTAAGTGGGTTTGTTTTAACTGCCTTTATGGCTTGCTGCTTCAAATAATGTAGGAACTGTATTGTCTTTATAAAAGACTTGTTCGTTGTTGAATTATAAAGCAGTAATTTTATCTCCCAAAATAGCTTTGTGTTTATCTAGTTTTCTTCCAGATTTCTAACAAAATCGACAGGTCCATCCACATGTTTGTCAAAAATAGTTGTTGTCAGTTGTCACGAGGCCTTTGTTATCACGGTTTAGCTCATGCAATCTATCCTTTCACCAGTCGATATATATGGCGATCGAGATACTTATATATGCTATCATGAAAGCGATCAACAATTGGCCTTCCACGTTTGCAACCTATATAGTGCATTCGCGGAGGGTGATTTCTCGTACGAGTCAGGAACTAAAGTGTGGTATTTTTGGACTCAAACGATGAAAATAGGTGAAAAAACAACTGACTACCACTTTATATATAGCGCAGTAAATAACCGCGCTATTATATAACGACACATTTGTTCGTTAAGATATAGCGCATATAATATATGCGATATACTCAGAATATGGGACTGCATAGCGCATCAACAACTTGCGCTATCCATACGATTTGTGCTATTCACTTATGCTCATAGGAAGTTGGCATCTGAGTACTGTCCCTTCTCCGGAAACAAAGATTGGCTGCTCAATTTTTGGGTGAATCATCATCATTTTCTTTGGTTCTTATTATTTCATTTGTTAGCTTATATACCAAACAGCCTACACAAGTACACATATCATTGCAACAAAGAAAAGTAGACCTTTACCAAATTTCCATATTTTGCTACTGTTTTATGCAGTTTTGGAGGAGAAAGGGTGCGGAGAAACACCACTTAATGTCGGGGTGGTGGGCTGGTCATTCGTCGTAACATTTTCGGATTGTTTGACACTACTATGATTATCGTTTTGTGCATGAAATTATAGGGGTATGTTGGTTGTTTTGTAGTATTTTGTGATGGATATAAGGTTGTAAAATGATGCATATATGTTGTTATTTTTGTGTTCCTATGTTTTTGGTGTTGTCTCGAATTGGGAGGAATATGATGCCCGTTTTAATATAAATTAAGCGTGTCGTTCGTTGTACGATAGTTGTACCTTTCGTAACTTAATGATAGTAGTATTATCGTTGTTGTGGATTAAGGTGTGGAGAGACGCATTCAACGTGGTTATTGGAATGATTGTGATAAAGTATGTTAAGGCTAAATCCTTCCTTCATTTTGGCATGATCTCATAACTACATGTGTTTGATAACGAGACATAAAGAGAAGTTCATACTCCTGAATTTATGTACAGTATTCTCCCTTATCAAAACATTATATTCAATTAATTATTGTCTTTTTCCAGTCAAGAGAGCAGAGGGTCTATATATACATATACAATATTACAGTATTTTCACCACCATCGAGTTATAATCGGTGGGCAGGCCCCTATTGGGCAACCTCTAATAAGATGGTAATTTATATACCGAGCCTATTATGGCCGAGCGCCTATGAGCGAGCTCAGAATGGTCGAGATACCGAGCGTAGTATGGCCAATCGCCTATGAGCGAGCCTTCTAAAGCCGAGCAGTTACACGTACCGAGCCTTATAGGGTCGGACAACTATTTTACTTACTATATTGAGAGAGTTGAGTCAGTGTCAGAAGGTAAGTATACCTCCAGATCTTCTTTGAATCCTAGTTACTTTCAGTTATTATATTATTAGTTCAGTTTCAGCTTTAAGTTATTCTATTGCCTTACATACTCGATACATTATTTCGTACTGACTTCCCTTTTCTGGGGATGTTGCATTTCATGCATGTAGGTTCAGATAGATAGACGGGTATACCTCCTTAGTAGGTGTTGTCCGAGTTCAGCTTGATTGGTAAGCTTCACGTCCTTCAGAGTTGTCGGGTCAAGGGTTTTGAGCATATATTGTGTGTGTGTGTATATATATATTATGGGTTGGTCGGCCCCCTGTTCCAACCAAAGTACATCCATCAATAAAGGCTTCTAGACATATCATGTCACTCAATGCAGTATGTTGTGTCATGCCCGGACCTTGGGGAGCGCGACCGGCGCTCAACCAAGATACCCTGGTCAAGCAAGCCTTTACAATGTCTTCTACCCAACTCACCCATGAATAAAGAGAAGATACATTTATATCATTAATTAAACATTTAGTGGATTCCATGAACAATGCTAATCCCATTACCATTAGTCACTTCATTTTATAGTTTCAAAATACATACACAATCATAGTTAAAGTGCAAAATTGATTCAAATACAACAAGGTTAGTTTGACTTTTCCAACACCCATATACAATCCACACTGTGTCTACAGAGCCTCTACGGATAAAAATACTATGGTAATGTCGGCAACAAGGCCCCGACTATACTTCAAAATATAATACATATGGGACAAAAGATACATGACTCGAATGAAGTGGGGCTCACCAAATCTGCTGAGAAGAGGGCGTACTGCTATCAATAATCACTGTCACCTGCTACGGAACCACTTGCATCCATTAAAGATGCAGCGCCCCCGACAAAAGGGACGTTAGTACATATAGAATAGTACTAGTATGAATGACTAAACACCCTCTCAAGAGAACAAATGATAACACAAGGAAGGACAATCATAAAATCAATGGGAGCCTTAAACAATACCAAAACATCAAATTAGGAGCAAGACAAGTTTTCAAGTAAATTTCCATATTTTAAGTTTGGGAGAGCACTACACGAGATATGGGAATGTTATAGAACAATGGTTAAGGAATGTACCAACAACGATATGATATGGAGAACATGATTCAACAAACTTTCTATCGTGAGATTAACACAACCAACCAATGTGTAGTGAATCAACTTGTTAATGGGGAACTTCATGACTACGCCTTATGCGGAGGCGTGTGAGATTTTGAATGGAGGAAACGTCATCGGCTTGGCAATCCCGGGCCAATGTTCCACAAGGTGACCCAAACATGATCCACCTTCACAAAGAGTTGCAAGACCATAGGCAAGCCATTTCCGAGTTGACAACTACCATGACGCAGCTAGCAAAGGCCCAACTAAATCAAGTGTAAAATCCTAAGCAAGTCAATGCCATGGAGGGAGTGAACATGATGATGAACAAGAGGAGGACCAAGGGTCCACAAGTACAAAATCAAGTGAAGAATTATGTGCAAAAAGATAGTGGTTTTGAGCAAGATGCTTCCTATAATGAAAAAGAGGAGGAAGTGCAATATGTGAACAACTTTCAAGGGCAAAGAAAAACCTTCCAAGGCCCAAACCAACAATAATGATGACCTCAAAACAATCAAGGCAATTGGAGCGGAAACAACAATCAAAGGAATTGGAATTCTAACAATCAAGGCAATTGGAGCGGAAACAACAATCAAGGGAATTGGCATAACAA